TTTTTTCAACACCTAAACCCTGAACCCCCAAAGACCTTTGTGCAATTTTAGTATTGCTCCAACGTCTTTTTCTTACGTGAGGATGAGAACACACAGGAATACACATGTAAAACTCAGAGAGCATGCACAGGATTTCACCCACATGTTGTTCATCAAAAGTAAACAAAACTCTCAAGCTTTAATCCACAAGTAGCTGGAATGTTTTTCTAGGGTCGACTCGCACAGGTCCAAAGGCTTCGAAATACCATCCACAGGGTCTGCGAAGACGAAGAAAATCAAGCATGTACCGAGATCGTAGATCGTGTCTAGGCTTGTCGCTGAGATCGGACCATCTGTTGTGCCCTCAAGCCTGCGAACTCCTCTTCGAGGCTTTCTGCTGTGGCTGCCGTCTTTCGCATGAGATCGGAGTACGTCTGGACGGTCAGGGGGCCCTCATTCTGGATCTCCTTCACAAAACCCTAAACCCCCAAACCCCTATAAAGCCCCAAAACCCGTAAACCCCCAATCTAAACCCCTAAAGCCCCAAACCCCTAAAACCCCTAAAACCCCAAACCCCTAAAGCCCCACACACATTTTCAAGCCACATAGAAAGCCTCAAGAAAATCAACCAGATACCTTATGCAAAACACCCTGCAGTTATTTTGGTATTATATACACAGATTTACATGTGTAAACATCGTTTGGCATGCCGTGCTGCTGTCCTTCCATTCCAGGACGTAGTCAAGCTGGATCTTCAGGCCATTGACTCGGGTGATGATAGCCTTCCTGTGCTGTTGTGCTGTATAAGAGCTTGTTGTTTTTAGGGGCAGACCGAGGCTTGGGCTTTGAGATTATATATATATATATAAGTTGTACAAGGTTCGGGTCGTGTGGGTGTTGTGTGAAGCAAAGGAATGTATAGGGCTCTCGGGTTTGGAAGTAAAGGGATTTTTGGATTTTGGTGATCAAAGGGTTCTACATAGGCCTGGTGTTTGTTTTGCCACAATTGTAAAGTTTTATAAGGGCCTTTTGGGGATCAAGGCTTGTTTTGCTTCCGCATGAAAAACGAGTCTATGTGGCTTGAACGGAGACAAGACACATTCTGACATACATCTCATCTGTTTCATCGACCTTGTCCAAAATCTTCCGGGCATCCGAACCAATCTTCTTGACGGCCGCGATGGCATGTGAGATCTGGCTCTTCGCTGTCTCCCACTGCTTCTTAGTCAAGGCCTGAAGGTTCGGGTCATCCTCAATCGCCATCCTGGGAGCCTCATGGAACTCCGCATCTCCATCATCGCCTTCATTCGCCTTCTGGAACAAGCCTATCTTCCACGTCTGGCTTGTTTTCTGGAACTTGGCGATGTCACCACTTTGTCCGGCACTTTTGGATTCATAGCTCGATGTCGTCTCCTTGCCACGGATCGTGGCATGCTCGGATGTGCCCCATGCATATTCGACTCGGCCATCACGTTTTTTGATCTTCCGGAAGTCGTTGTCCATCAAGCCACGAGCGAAGGCTTCTTCGGTTAAATTAAATTTTCCCATAAACAAGGACTTCGGGAGGCTCTTCTCCTTCTCCTTCGACAAGTTCTTGGTAAACGTCGCCTCTGCACAAAAAAAATACATATATGTTTCCTTCTATAATGTTTTTTTTACATAGGGTCTTATATATATATATATATCTATAAGGCTCGGGGTGGGTTTTTGAGAGGAGGCCTTATAAAGGATTATATATATAAGGTTCGGGGCGGCCGGTTTCAGGATGGGGTTTTATCGGATAAGGATTTAGGGAAAAAAAAGGACACAGGAAAAGCAAACCCCTTAAAACCTAAACCCCCAAACCCCTAAACCCCCAAACCCCCAAACCTCCAAACCCCTAAAAGCCTCCAAACCCCCAAACCCCTAACCCCCCCCCCCCCCAAAAAAATAAACACCGAAACCCCTAACCCCCCCTCCCCCAAGTACGAATAATGATGTAAATCACCAACATGTATAATCCTATAATGGTACAATGAGAGACAGCTCTGTAAATCATGTAGCACACAAGAAAAGAACCCGTACACGTGGAAATCACACAAAAGCACACATGTGTAGATAAGGTAAAGCACGACGGCAGAAATCGTGCCTGAAGCTCGGCGAACATGGGTTTGTCCGTGTTGACCATGAGTTTGCCGTTGTCTTTCCGGTCGATCGCATTGTTCACGAGTTCTCGCTGTCGCTCTTGGCGGCCGGCTTTCATTTTGGTGGTTTTCTCCCACTCTGCGGCCAGCCAACTGGGAAGCTGACCACTGTTGTACATGGCTTTGAACTTGTAGTCCTTTGATCTGTCCTTGTCCTTGCTGTCGTCTTTTTTTTTCTCCTCTGCCGGCATTCCGAAATCCGTGCACGGGTCATCCTCGAGCTCCTCCTCCTCTCCTTTTTCGCCCTCCTGGTGCTCGTCGTCGTCTACTTGGATGCCCGATTTCCAGTCTTTGGCGAGCTCCTCTTCTCTCTTTCGTTTTTTTTCTTCCTTTTTCGCCTTTTCCTCTGCCTTCTTCTTCTCGGCGGCAGCTTTCTTCAAAGCTGCTGCTTTCAAAGCAGCCTTCTTCTCCTTGTCACCGGAGTTCTTTCCACTGCCCTTGGCGGCAGCAGGCTTCTTTAGGACAGCTTTGGCGGCCACAGCTTTGGCGGCCGGTTTCTTCATCGGCTTGTCGTCGTCGTCTTTCTCGTCTTTGTCGTCGTCCTCCGGCTCCTCCTTAACACATGCGATCTTGGCCTTGGGATTCTTCACAGCGGGCTTCTTCTGGACAGGGACAGCGACTTCGACTTCGGGCTCCTCGTCTGCCGATGGCTGTACGGCATCTTCCGGAGCTTCCGCACTCATGGCACAATCACAAAGGAAAAATGCCAAGCTAGATAGAAAACGCAAAAGGGATCTAGGTGCCCGCAACCAGGCAACTCGAGGCAACTGAAGCAGCAAGACCACAACATAGCAGACATAGCACATGTGAATGAACACTGTTCTCCACAGATCACACAAGTAAACCATGCACAGATCACACAAGTAAACCATGCCAGTGTAAATCACGAAGCCGACATGGAGGGCATATAAGTGTTATTCATTATATTGGTGGTGTTGGGTTGCCGGTTGTTGGGTTGAGGGTTTAAGGGTTTCAGGGGATAGTGCCGGGGTCGGACATTTTGCTGCATATGCTTGTGTGCACAGGCACGATCGAGGATACAGGAACCGTTTGTCTTCGGTTCAGAAACAGCCTCTTATCAAGCTCCGTAGAGAAGTCAATTTGCATGCACCTGTACATACTCGGGCTCAGGGAATCGCCTCTCTCCACCATACCCAATACCAGATCCTTGGTTGGAATTCATATTAAGGTCTGTTGCTTTCTGTTTCGCCTAAAACCAGCCAAGTTGCTCCTGCCCTGCAATGGTGCATGTTTTCCAGCACCACTTCCAAACATATCGCCGAGGTGATCGGGATCTGCTTCGGTTCCTCTCAGCTTGGACAAGAATACAGTTGCCTCGTGCACAAACACAGAAGAAACTTAGACTCTGCACAAAGCAGCTCTCCTGTCGTTGTTCATACTGACGATCTTCTACAGCAGAGCACAGAAAAGGTAAATGTTCGAGCCCCAAACACCTCATGAACACAACCTTTCCGTGACTGGTGGCATGCACACAACCGCACACAGATTCCAATCAACATTGTGTGCTGCCGACAAAGCACAAGTAAATCGTATTAGTGCAAAACACAAAGCATTTGTGTAGAGCACAAGTAAATCATGTCAGTTCAACCAACACGAAACACTCAAGTAAGTCATGTCAGTGCAACAAATACAAAGCACTTGGAGAGCACAAGTAAATCATGCTTTGTGTACAAAACACAAAGCAGTTCGGAGGTCTAAGTGATATGTTGTTGTATGTGTTTATACACAACATTAGAAAAAACTCCCTCCTTATACCTCTCCCCCAAACCCACTCTACCATGCACACATCCAGTTTAGGGGTTTGGTGGTTTAGGGGTTTGGGGTTTAGGTGTTAAGGGGTTTGGGGGTTTGGGTTTGGGGGTTTTGGGGTCTAGGGTGTTGGGGCTTTATTGACTTTGGGGGTGTAAGGGTTTAGTGGTTTCGGAAGGGGGGGGGGGAGGTTGGGGTTTCGGGGTTTAGGGGTTTGGTGCATTAAGGGCTTAGTTTGGGGATTTAGGGGTTTAGAGGGGTTTCGGGTATAGGGGGTTTGGGTGTTTAGAGAGGGGCTTGGGGGTTTAGGGATTCGGGGATTTAGGTCTGTGGGGGTTTGGGGGTTTGATGGTTTAGGGGTTTGGGGGCTTAAGGTGTTGTTTAAAAAATGCTTAAAAACAACAGAAGATATTGAAAAATAAAAAAAAACAAAAAAACATATGAAAAACTTATGTAAAGCTTATGTAAATCATATGTAAAGCTTATGTAAAATTAAGCTTTACATAAGCCTTGCATAAACTTTACATTGAACTATGTAAAGCTTATGTAAAGCTAGATTTTACATAAGCTTTACATATGATTTACATAAGCTTTACATAAGGTTTTCATATGTTTTTTATTTATTTTCTTTTTTTTTAAAAAAAAATCTGACTGTTTTACTTGATTGTTTTTGCAAAGCGCTACGCTTTCCCTGTGTGCCATTACGCTTTTCCTGTGTACTTTCAAGCCCCCGAACAAATAACCCCAAAGCCCCATAACCCCTCAACACCCAAACCACTAAAGCCCCAAACCCTCAAACCCCCAAACCCAGAAACCCCAAAACCCCCACAAACCCCAAACTAAGCCCTCCAAACCCCACTAACCCCTAAACCCCTAAAGCCCCAAACCCCTAAACCCCCATTCCCCTGAACCCCTAAACCCCCAAACCCCTACACCCCTAAACCCCCCAAACCCCGAAACCCCAAACCACTTCCAAGCCACTCTATAAACCCCTGAACAAAACCCAAACTAAAGCCCCAACCCCCAAACCACCCTAAACCCCTCAACCCACAAACCCCTAAACCCCAACCCCACTTATGTGACACAAGTAAATCGGGGCCTGTGTGGCGATCTGGGGCTTTGGGGGTCTTGCAGGTTTCAGGGTTTCGGGATTTCAGGTTATTGGGCTTTGGCACAGACAAAAGGCCACACAAGTAAATCGACACTATTGGTTTGAGGAATTGGGCTTTTGCTGCAGGGCCGCACAATGGGCTGGGGCACATGCAAATCTGAAGTAGTGCTCTTGGCTTCTGCAGCAGGCTTATAGGCTTAGGGTTTAGGGTTTAGACGGCTTGGAGGGTTTAGGGTTTAGGGTATGACAAGTGCTTGGGGCTTTGGTTTTCGGGTGTTGGACCACAAGAAAATCTCGGGCCAATTTCCTCACACACACACACTCGGACGAAGTCCTTTGGCTCTTATTCTACCCTGAGAGTCTCAGGAAGGCCCGGTTTTCAAACCGGTGCTGTGGCCTAGTTTCCAGGCACTGCATAGTAATTATGTGCAATAGAAATCCCCAAAACATGGGACCCGATATAGCCCTATATAGCCTGAATCCTGAAGAGTATATAACATATATCTAAGTAAACCCAGAGTCTCCAAGTCTTGGGGTGGCAAACACATTGCAGAGCTACGAGGGCCGGCCATGACTCAGCACTCTCTGCATCATTGCCATGTTCTGCTGAAGTAACCTGAGCTTGTTGGCTGGCGGCTTTAAGGTTGAGGGTTTAGAGTTATTCAAGGATTTGAGGCTTAAGGTTGTGAGGGTTGCTCGCGAATGTATGCAT